AAGCTGGCGTCCCTAGGGGTCAGATTTAACTGTTCAGTGAAGCGGCTTTTTCACAGTGGGGTCCAGACCCCTCTCTGAACCTCTTGGGTGCCTCCAGCTTGCCTCCTCTAGCTCTCAAGAATGCAGATGGATCGTGTCTCTGGGCAGTTTCTCTTCCTCTTTCTCACCATCCCTTAAACCACCTCTGCTTTTATTTGCCAAAGGGTCTTCAAGCAGCAGGGACCGTGAACTGAGTTTACTGTCAGGCCTGTGTTCTTGCAGTCTTCAGAAAAGAATATTCCAGAAAGTTGGGCCAGAGTTCAGCTCCAGCAATAACTAGTGTTCTTGATGATGCCTCTCAGCTCTAAAAAGAAACCCCTCCCCCCAGCCTTTCTTAATTCTCCAGCACCTTCAAGACCACCGGAGCCATGGACCAGGACTAGTTGTACTGGCACTAGTTGCCTTCTTAATACCAGGTATTCTAGGCAGGGACGAACCTGAATGCTTCTCAGATAAGGAAACAAACCCAGCAAAGATGCAGAATGAGTCATTTTAAATAACAATAGTAAAAAAAAAATAACAATAGTAAAGAATATCTGTAGCCTGTCCTGAATTTCTCATCAACAGGTTCTGAGCTTCTCAAAGAAACCTGACTTGTTAAGAGTTCTTAGTTACCTGTGTTTTCAGCGTCTTGAAAAGACTGAGGGATGTGTGATGATCCATTTAGCTTTTCCAGTCACCCACTGCCTTGTAAATGACCTGAAATGCGCATGATGTGAAAAATCAAGGTTTATTTTCTGAGACTTTATTTTCTTGTCAGAGATTATTTTTCTTTCCTAAGCTTCTTTATCTTAGAGTAGGTACGACAAGTAAACAGAATTTGAGTCAATGTGTTTTGTTCTTAACAGCTGTTGTTGAAAGTTTACCAAAGAGGAAAGTTTACAATGATGTTATAAAAGAAGAGTTTGGAATCATTTGTATATTTTAATTTGTAAAACATTCCTGTTACCAGATTGCTAAATGGTAAATCGCTAAAATCAAAAAGTATCTTCAAAATCAGGTTTAACTTGAAAAAGGCAACCAACCCAAGGCTGAGAATCAATCCTTGGGGTGGTACTATCTGAAGACCTATTCAGGATTTGGGGCACTGGGCTTCCCCTTTCATTTACCAAGTGTTTACTGTGAACTATATCCTAGGCCTTGAGGATACATAGTGAAAAGGCATCATCCCCCGCCCTCAAGATTACTTTGTCTGACTGGAGATGTGATATTTAGATACCTTTAATGGATGTATGTAAAAAGAGCATGGTGGATAGAGTTTACAGTAACTGGGGGGAGTTAGCAAAGATTGCATTAAAATTAGTTTTTATCAAAGAGAAGAGTTATGAGCCCAGAAAGAGGACCCGCTCAGTGAACTGTACTTTTAAATTTTGGAGACCCAAGAAAGCACGTTTTAGCGGAAAACTTCAACAAAGAACAAAGTGAAGGCTAAGAGTGTAGTAGACAGTTAGGGAAGATGAGCCTGAATAGGTGCAGGGCAGACCGATCGCCACACTGGAGTGTTACCACTCAACGCCTGTGTTCTTATGAGTGGTTTTTAAATGAGGACAACCCTCAATCCACATGGCTTTTTTTAAACACAGTCATTAGGAGTTATTTAAATGATTTCACAAACGGTTATGAAGACAAACTTAAAACAAGTTTATTCTTTTTGTTTGTTTGTTTAGTCGAAAGAAAACCTGTTCAGGTTTTCACAGATGAATTGGCCATGTCCATTTGCTCTCAGAAACTTAATAAACAAGCTTATGTTGAGGACGTCCCTCACAGGCCAGGTTCCGAATTCTGTCTCGTCCTGGAGAAGCAAAGAGAGGATATTGTGTAAAGGAGCGTGGCTCTTGAATTTCTGGGTCTAAAGCTAGGTCTTTTTTCTCACTACCTCGAATAAAACCAAACCCTAGTTCCTATTTCAGGCTTAGACTAGCTTAGAACTATTGGGGGGAAAAAAAAGCTTTGAAACTAAACAAAACAGTCATAATTTAAAGTATTGGCGCCTCAGAGGTTTCTCATCTATAGAAGAGCATGACAATTTCTTACATTGGTTGAAAGGATTAAATTAGAAATGTTCAGAGGACTGCGCCACAGTTTTAGTTCCTCCTCCCTCCTCCCCTCTCAGCAAGTTTGGGTGTGGTCTTTTGCTAAATACACTAAACAGCTGTTGGAATCTCCAGAGCTTGGTTTACAAAGATGAGTAATGCAGCTTCTTCCCTCCAGGAAGTTTCTTTCCTTCTGGAAGTTTCTTCTCTCAAGTTTCTTCCTTTAGTGCTTCTTAAACTGTGATTTAGGGACTAATCACCTGAAAGAATTGTATTCTCATGTTCCTCTCCAGAGACTATCATTTATTAGGCCTAAGATGGGGTCTAGGAATCTTACCTTTTTAAAAAAAAGCAGTCCAGAGAATACAGATAGATTCCCTGATATTCTGAGAAACTTTGACTTAGAGATGCTAGTAATAGAAATGTAATGTGATGTTTTGTAATAAAGTTATAAAAGAGGATGATACCATGTAAGCTATCCAGGAAGTACGTGCAGGATTTTTTTTTTTTTAAGAGCTAGAAGGTAACAAAAATATTTTCTTAAAAAAATTTTAAGCCCATTTAAAAAATTAAACTCAATTTTATAAATGGTTATACAAGGCATTATTCATTTAAGAACTTATGTGATTTCTGTGACTTTCGGTGGGGTTATTCTGAGTTGAAATTTGGCACAACTCATTAGCTTTGTGATCTTTGGGAAGTTACTTCCTAGCCTCAATTTCTTAACTTAAAAAATACTAATATCTCAATTTACAAAATACTTACTAATAGCCTCTAATACTTACTAATAGCTTCCTCATGAGAATGATATTAGGAATGCAAAGTACCTAGCTGACCTAGGCACCTAGCTCTGTAGGCTTTTACCTTCTGGCCTTGCCCAGGGAAACATGAAGCCTCAGTTTCGGGGAATCCAGACTTTAAAACATGACAGTATCAAGTACTTAACTGTAGATAATGAAGTGACAACATATAACATACAAGTGAGAAAAGGTATGACCTTGTCACGTTATTGACAAGTCACCCAGGCCGCGGCCACAAAAACTGGGATAAAGGAAAGGCAGAATGGGAGGCCAGAAATTCAGGAAAAGTCCTTTTATGCAGTTGCAAAAAGCAAGAACTCTATTTTGCTATTTTGCTTTGCTTACAGCGTATTTACAATTAAGGGGGCTGCGGAAAGTGGCTTATAGGATCTTGATTATGGGAGGTTCTCCAACATAGTTTAGCTTCAAATGCAAGCTCTTGAAAAGTTAACCCGCCTGAAGTAGCCAGCACCAAACGGGGAGAATTTAATAAAATGGCGTTTGCTGGAGTCTCACAAATACCTCGCAAATCGGTCAGCGCATTAACTGGCTGTGTGAGAACTCTCACCAGAGTTCTTGCGCCTGTACCCACAGGGCTTATACCGCATTCAGAGGCATCCGCCTGCCTCTCCGCCCACCCCTAAAGGGGTGAGACTCGAAAAGTACTTTTAAGAACGGTTAAATTAAGACTCAAACGAGGCTTGCTGTCAAGGCAGAACTTTGCGCCTACTGGCTCCGCCTGACACTTGTTGAGCTGCACGGTTCAGCTGAAGCGTTGCTACCTAATCACTGTAAAGACGTCCCCAGAGGAGGGCCAAAATGGCGACGGACTCCTCTTGGCACAGCCCTGTTCCCTCCCGGCTCTGGTAACGCCCATCGGCCAAATGGAGGCGGTGCCTGACCTCCCCCCCCGCCACCTCATTGGACCGAACGACTGAGGCAGAGGCCAATTCTCCTCTGCCCACTCCAGGTTCTTGCCCTCAGAGCTCACATGGCATTCAATTGGCTTTTATACACGTCAATTTGCGTCCTATCGCGTCTCTTTTCAGTGTTAGTCCAATCATAACTTTCCTGGCTGCCCGCCTGATTTCTGATTGGTTTTGATCCACTTCATCCTATCCCATTCCTGTCTACTTCTTACCTCCTCCCACTAGGACTTTGCCCAGGCACGTCCGAGCTTCTGGTTGGTTGGTGTTCTGTCATTCCAATGAAAGCTCGTCCAATCCCTACTACTCACGGAGCCCGCCTGGCAGTTGACTGGCTTCTTCCCAAGCCCATCATCTTTAGTTCCTGCCCACCTTCACTTCCTGCCTCTTTCATTGGCCTCTAAAACTGAGAGGCCGATCTTTTGGGGCGGACACCACGCACGCAACTTTGTCTTACACGCCTTAGAGAGCAAGCGAGCCTTGGCATTGGGCAATCTGCTCGTCTTTCTTCTGCAAGTCCCTCCTATCTCCCTCCCTCATTGGGCGGGGCAGCAGTAAAGGGGCGGGGCCTAGGCCGGGCTTGTGGCGCGCTGCTCCCTCCTCCTTACCCCCCCCTCCCTGTCCGGTCCGGGTTCGCTTGCCTCGTCAGCGTCCGCGTTTTTCCTGGCCCCCCCCAACCCCCCCGGACAGGACCCCCTTGAGCTCGTCCCTCAGCTGCTACCATGAGCGGTAAGGATGAGTCCACTTCAAGCTTAGGGGTGGGAGGAGAGTGAGGGGGCGCGCGCGAGGGCCGACCGGGCGGTCCCCGCCGTGAGGGGGGGCGGGCGGGAGGCGGCGGCGGCGGCCTTGGTCCCGCCCGGGGCGGAGGGAAGGGAGGGAGAAGGGGCAGTGGCGGGGCCTCCGAGGAGGAGGAGGGGGATGGGCCACCCGCCCCGGGGGAGGGGGCAGCGTGGCCTCGCCCGCCCCCTGCCCGCCCCGGCCACGGGGGACGGGCCTTACCCCCCACTACTCGGCTACCCGCCTGAGGCTCCTCCTGCCGGGGGCTGGAGCCGCGGGGGCGGCCCGAGCAGAGCAGGCCCCGCCCGGGCCAACCGCCTCCCTGGTCCGCCCTCTGGTCGCCGCCGGCCCCAAGGCCCTCCCCCCTTCCCCCTCAGCGTAGATTACCCCTCCCCCCGTAAATTACCCCTCCCCCCTACCGTCCCGCCCTTTCCACGCCCCACACCCCGAAACCGCCCTTTCCCTCTAGGGCCCGCCCTCTAGCCGCCCCGAATCGCTTGATTTCTAACCCCTGGACCTCTTTAGCCCCTTTTAGTATTTATAAATGTTTCCCCACTCAAACTTTTTATCTGTTCTTTTCCCCTTTCTCCTCCTTTCCTCTTGTTACTTTTTACACTTGAGTTTTTCTCTTTCTCTATTTCCTTTGACCCTAGTTTTTAGCAAACTTTCCATCCACCCACATGTTTTATGCCTTATCTATCCTTTTTTTCCCCCAGGTTACTTTTTCAACATGCCCACCGACCCTCGTATTTCCTGTACGAAAAGCACCTTTTCAGTGTTTTCTGAGTTTAATTTTGTGCAAAGGAGAATTGAGGTCCAGTTTTGGCATCACTGAGCTTAGATCACATCCTACTGGTCTGCAACTGTTCCTTCTCCCCGAATCCTTTTTTTTTTTTTTTTTAATATTGGCGCCTTTCACCTTCCTGTTAGTCATTTGTTTCATCACAGCCTCTTTTACCCATTCTCACTTTACCTTTTGCTTTCTCCAATTTTAAAAGTAGTTTAAAATTCTTTTTAGACCAAGATCACTCCATGGATGAAATGACAGCTGTGGTGAAGATTGAAAAAGGAGTTGGTGGCAATAACGGGGGCAATGGAAATGGTAGTGGTGCCTTTTCTCAGGCTCGAAGCAGCAGCACAGGCAGTAGCAGCAGCAGCGGAGGAGGAGGGCAGGTAAGTGATGATCCTGACACAGTGGGGAAGGTGCTGAGAGGCTGTAAATATCCTTAGAAGACTGTCTTTTTACAGAAAAATTTTAAGGGATTGGCTAAACCATTTTATAGATAGGGAAGTAAGCACAGAGAGACAAGTGACTTGGAGATCCCCCTAAATGAGAGTTTCAATAGTGTAGATAGATCCAACTTTTTGTTTGGTTGGGTTTTTCTTTTTTTTCCCCTTTTGCACTGTTACACTGTTTATTTTTTGTATACTGCCCCCTGGTCTGGCAAATGGGTACCACCAAGTAACTCCTTTCCTCTCCCTTATTTCTGGCCAGGAATCCCAGCCATCCCCTTTGGCTCTGCTGGCAGCAACTTGCAGCAGAATTGAGTCACCCAATGAAAACAGCAACAACTCCCAGGGCCCAAGCCAGTCAGGGGGCACAGGTGAGCTTGACCTCACAGCCACACAACTTTCCCAGGGTGCCAATGGCTGGCAGATCATCTCTTCCTCCTCTGGGGCTACCCCTACCTCGAAGGAACAGAGTGGCAGCAGTACCAACGGCAACAATGGCAGTGAGTCTTCCAAGAATCGCACGGTCTCCGGTGGGCAGTATGTTGTGGCTGCCACCTCCAACCTTCAGAACCAGCAAGTCCTGACAGGACTGCCTGGAGTGATGCCTAATATTCAGTATCAAGTAATCCCACAGTTCCAGACCGTTGATGGGCAACAGCTGCAGTTTGCTGCCACTGGGGCCCAAGTGCAGCAGGATGGTTCAGGTCAGATACAGATCATACCAGGTGCAAACCAACAGATCATCACAAATCGAGGAAGTGGAGGCAACATCATTGCTGCTATGCCAAACCTACTCCAGCAGGCTGTCCCCCTCCAAGGCCTGGCTAATAATGTACTCTCAGGACAGACTCAGTATGTGACCAATGTCCCAGTGGCCCTGAACGGGAATATTACCTTGCTACCTGTCAACAGCGTTTCTGCAGCTACCTTGACACCTAGCTCTCAGGCAGTCACGATCAGCAGCTCTGGGTCCCAGGAGAGTGGCTCACAGCCTGTCACCTCAGGGACTGCCATCAGTTCTGCCAGTTTGGTATCTTCACAAGCCAGTTCCAGCTCCTTTTTCACCAATGCCAATAGCTACTCAACAACTACTACCACCAGCAACATGGGAATTATGAACTTTACCACCAGCGGATCAGCAGGGACCAACTCTCAGAGCCAGACACCACAGAGGGTCAGCGGGCTGCAGGGATCTGATACTCTGAACATGCAGCAGAACCAGACATCTGGAGGTTCACTGCAAGCAAGTCAACAAAAAGAGGGAGAGCAAAACCAGCAGACACAGCAACAACAACAAATTCTCATCCAGCCTCAACTGGTTCAAGGGGGACAGGCCTTGCAGGCCCTCCAAGCCGCCCCATTGTCAGGGCAGACCTTTACAACTCAAGCTATCTCCCAGGAAACCCTCCAGAACCTTCAGCTTCAGGCTGTTCCAAACTCTGGCCCCATCATCATCCGGACACCAACAGTGGGGCCCAATGGACAGGTCAGCTGGCAGACTCTTCAGCTGCAGAACCTCCAAGTTCAGAACCCACAAGCCCAGACAATCACCTTGGCCCCAATGCAGGGTGTTTCTTTGGGGCAGACCAGCAGCAGCAGTACCACCCTTACACCTATTGCCTCAGCTGCCTCCATCCCTGCCGGCACAGTCACTGTGAATGCTGCTCAGCTCTCCTCCATGCCTGGCCTCCAGACCATTAACCTCAGTGCGTTGGGTGCTTCAGGAATCCAGGTGCACCAGCTTCCAAGCCTGCCCTTGGCGATAGCAAATGCCTCAGGTAAGACTTGAAATCTTTTGCATTTATCTCTAGAGCTACTTAGCATCTTAGCTGAAACTGTTGAATAGAGAAGAGGGAGTAGAATCTTTTGAGGGTAATACTTCTGAGGGCAAGTCAGTTAGAGAAATAGCAATGAAGTCATTTGGAGCTGACTTAATGAAAACTTTTCCCTCTTCAGGTAATCTGTCCAGAAAGGAGCATTTCTGGGCATTGTCCTTGGGGTCTCTACTTTCAGTGCCTGGTACTATAGTACAAGAGTGGGCAAACTTTTTCTGTAAAGGGCCAAATAGTAAATATTTTAGGCCTTGTGGGCCACATAAGTTCTCAGTTACGTGTACTTATTTGTTTTTGCAACCTTTTAAAAATATACGATATTTTTACCTTGAGGCCTTTATTTGACTTGAGGGTTCTTCTCTGTAGATAGGAGTGGATTATAAACTTATCTGTAGGGCAGTTATTAAATCATCAGATAGTTCTCACAAACCACAAGCAGGGGAAAACTAATGGATTCCAAAGGACTTCAATAAAGTAAGTTCCCTGGTTAATCTTTAGTTAACCAGAAGAGCCTACCCTTTGAGGTTTAATTTTTTCAACTTCTGCTTAGCTCGAAAGTATTAATGTGTATTTTTAATAAGCTTCCTAGGTGATTTTTTTTGTTTTGGTTTTGTTTCTTAAGCCTCCTAGGTAGTGATTCTAATACTTCTAGATTAGAGAGCCACTAGAAAGTGGCTGCTTTGAAAGTAGCGTATGGTTGAAAGGTGGAAGAGAACAGAAGTGGGGCACAGAGTGGAGTGGGGAGATGGAGTTGAGAGGAATTAGAAAAACTTTGAAGGGGAAAGAGAAGAGTTGTCAAAGAAGGAGGTGTATATATTGAAATGTATGTTGAACCAATTGACACCACTATTCAGTCATTTATTTTGAACTGTATTTTACTAGTATTGGTTAATTTGAAATTTAAAACCTCTATTTAAAATGGTGAGAATTTATTTAGAATTTATCATTTTAAATTTCATGGTGATAGAACTAATCTTTAATGAAGCACATTAGGATACATATGCATCTTTATATTCTGGCATGATATATAGAAGTTATGATGAGAAGTAGTTTAATACCACTGAACTTCTACTTCTGTTGGTGTATCTGTCCATTTGTTAATTGTTTACTTTTATTATAGAGTTCTCATTCTGTTTAGATTGGTTCTTATGTAAGAGAGGGTAACAAATAGGCAACCATATTTCTTGCCTCCTGCAGTTTAGGAAAATCTGTGATGGGGAGGTCTGCTCAAGTTCAGTACTTTCTTACAGTCTTGTAGTAGTATGTTTAAAATTACTGCATTTTTGAGCCTTAACAGACAGAAATTTTCTTAGTGAATTGGAGATCTTAACATAGAAGGTTAGAGCTGAAAGAGACCTTAGGAATCATCTCATACTTCTGCCTTATTTTCCAGATAAGGACTTTGAGATGCTGGGAAGCACATATGTTATGAGACAGCTACTTGCTGCTAGTTCTAGTCTGGAGCATTCATTACCTATTAACTTTAACTTGGGACAAGAGACTTCATGTTTTAACTTGGTACATCCTTTAGATTGTTAAAAATCTTTTGGATAAGATATCTTTTGTTACTTTGAAATTTAAGGCTGTAGAGCTGGCAAATGTTTATAGTAAAAATTATGTGAGTAGAAATGGGAAAAGTTTAATAAAAATGGAACCTAACAGCTTGGAAAATTAGACATTTTCTGGGTAGTCTACATTTGTGTATGTGTTTTCTCTTTGCTCTTAAGTTATTGAGATTGTTGTAGATAGTATTAATTTGGATCCTTGCAATGTGTAAACAGTTTATAACTCGAGCTCTAAGGAACAGTTATGAGATACTTTCATTGCTAAATCATGGTCTGGGGAAGTCTGCCATTTACTTTGTCATAGGATAGGGCTACCTTCTTAGCTGTTGTTGATGGTCTCTGAGCTCTAGAAAATGCATGTCTTTCTATAAGATAGTAGCTGCTTGACATTCACTAAGAAGAGAATGAAGCTCTGAAAGGCCATTTTGTGAGAGTTGAGATTGCTTTATTAATAGTGGTTTTTGAAGATATGTGTTTCCTCCTTTCTGGTTAGTCATAGTTGTGCAACATTTTTTCCCCTTCAATTGATCTGACTTCAGTCTTAATGAAAGATAATGCAGTCATTTCCTGGAAGCTTAGTGCTCTTTAGTTGTTGCCTGGCTGCTACAAAGTCTCTCATTTTACCCCTTTTTCTGGTATATAGTTATTTTATTAGAAAAACTCAGCCTCTTGGCAGTATGATGTAGTGGAAAGAGCCATGAATTCGAACTCATGTTGTAAGATAGGTAAGTAGATAGCACTCTGCAAAGGGAGACATTATTTTTAAATGGTTGTGGAAGACTGCAGCTTCTATGTCACTTAATAGATTTAGTCTTTTTTTTTTTTTTGGCCCTACTGCATAGCTTCTCATAAGATCCTAGTTCCCTGAATAGGGATTGAACCCTTACATCCCCACCCCCCACCTCTAGCAGTGAAATCGAAGAGTCCCAGCCACTGGACTGCTAGGGAATTTCCACATTTATTATTTTTAAGTCATCTTTTAAAACTTTTCTAAGTTCTCTTGTTGACTTTTATTATGTTTATTTGTTTGCTTGAATATACAGGCAAAGGCACAAACTTAGACCCCAAATCAGGCACCCATCTCTGTATGTATTCCTGTTTTTCACAACTCTGCCACTGGTGAGTGGTAGTGAAGAAGGGACCACCCAGTAATGTGGAATGATCTATGGGCCCTTAGTTTTTGTTGTTATTTTTTAAGTGAGCAGCTTTTCCTTTTTTTTTTTTTGTTTTAAATTAACACTGTCCCCTTTATCCTTTTATCAACACTCTTTCCTCTCTTTTGGTAGTTACACGCTCAGATCTCGGTTTTGGGATTTTTTGTTTTGTTTATTTTAAAGCTTAAGGCTTCAGATTTTTTTCTCAGCCCCAGCTAAGTTCAGAAAACTCTTCCCCAAGGTTGAGGAGGGGCCAGTTTTGAAAGACTTAGTTTGGATGACTTCGTGGGAGTTCTGCCTAATAAAGAGTGCAGGACTGGGCTTTGGCAAGAGAATAAAACATATTTCCTTGATGGCTATAATTCACTCAAGAAGCAAATTTCAGACACTAAAAATAAAAATTTCACATCTGCTCAGTTTTATTGGGGTCAGGAAAATGTCTCCTCTTAGAAGTTAAGTTGAATGCGATACCAGAGTTGGTTTGCCAACAGTGTCGCTAAACTTGGGGTCAGATTGCTGAGACCTATTTTGTTAACAGAGTTGTATTTTAGACTAGTTCATTTGAACATAAGTGTTAAGTAGGTTTAGATGGTTTAAATGTGTCCAGAATTATCAGTCTAGTGCAAAGGGTCATACAAGAAAGTTTTCTGTTTTAAAATAATATACTTTTATTGACTATAACATCAAATGTTTCAGCATCATTTGCTTTTTTTTTTTTTTTTTTAGTTTTTTGAATGTTGAGTTTTATTTTATTTTTCTCTCTCTCTCTCTTTTTTTTTTTTATTAGTTGGAGGCTAATTACTTTACATCATTACAGTAGTTTTTGTTATACATTGAAATGGATTTACATGTATTCCCCATCCCAGTCCCCCCTCCCACCTCATTTGCTTTTTTTAGTATAATTTTATAAGTGTGTTTTAAATGAAATACACTTATAAAAAGATCTCCTTTAAAATCTAGGTGCTTGATTGATTTGGAAAGACTGAGAAGACAGTCTTGAGACTTTTTCAGTTGCTCCTATTTATTTATTCCAGTGGCTTTCTGTCAATGACGTCATTGTTAAATCACGTTGCATTGTGTAATTTGGTCCTTTTAGTTCTTAATTAAATAACAAGAGCACAAGGGTGCCTAGTGTTTTGGAAAAATTTAGTATCTGTTCTGTTCTTAGATCTCCTTTTCCCTTTAATTATTGTACATTGTAAAGTAGCATATAAATGTTGGCACTAAAAATGTAGTTCTGTTCATTTCTTGGTTCTAATTGTTTTGTTTTCCTTCCTTGAAAATATTTTAAGTGTAAGAGGAACACCTGTAGAAAAGCTGTATTACATAATGTTTTGTAAGTTACTGATAGGGTAAACATTAATAGATAATAGTTGAAATTTTTCAGTTTGCCATTTAATTGAAAAACAAGCATATTTTTCATATTTCTTTTGGAAGGTATGTCAAAATAGTATTATCCCTAACATTTAACCTTATTATACTAGATCTGCAGCGTTGACGCATTATTTAAAAGGTATATGTCCATACTGTGACTACATTGTTAATGCCATGCTAGGTTTTAAGAATTGGTCCCTTTAGAAGACCCTGAAAAAGTTTCTGAAGAAAGTTTTTTTCCTTCAGAGTTGGTTGCAAATCTAGACTATAATTTGAATTTGTACTTTTGCTCCAGTGCTTTTTAAACTCTGGCAATATTACTTGTTTGACAAGTTTGGGTGTACCTATCTGATTTACTGTGAATCTTTCTCACCCTATATCTATGTACAAAATTAATAATTTAACATGTACAAAATAATAAAAATATAAAATACCCAGGTCAAGACAAAGACGTGCCCTTTTTGAGATGAGAGAATCAGTTAAAAATCTACATGTTTGAGGGAGTTCCCTGGATGTCCAGTGGTTAGTACTCAGGGCTTTCACTGCTGTGGGCCTGTATTCAATCACTGGTCATCGTGCTTCGAGGTGCAGCCAAACCAAAACCAAAGCAAAGCAAAAAAATTTACATTTCTGAGAAAAAATTTTTTTAATGATTTTCATAGTAAATCAAATGTCTGCTGCAAGTAATCCAGACAAGGTTAAATGCTATTGAGATGGAGCTTTCCAGATTATTCCATGTGTTCTTCATTAACTTGACACTGTTTGGATTGCTTAGAAGTTACAGCTCTTTACAAACATATTATAATTAAACCGGACTCTCCGTGTCAATAGCAGTTAAACTGCGGATTGCTGG